CACACACACTCGCACGCACTCACACACGCACACACACATGCACACTCACACACACACACACACACTCACGCGCACACTCACACGCACGCACACTCACACACACACACATACACATACACACACGCACACACTCACACACACACTCACGCACACACTCACGCACACGCACTCGCACACACTCGCACGCACTCACACACGCACACACACATGCACACTCACACACACACACGCACTCACACGCACTCGCGCACACACACACGCACACTCTCACTCGCACACACACACACACGTAGCAGATTTGAGTTCCTCTAGTGTTCTGCATGCTGCATGACCGTGTGCTGCTTCTGCTGTACTGCTCACAAAATGAGACCAGCTGATGTAAACATGCAATCAAATGAAAAAAATGCCATTTTTGCCCAACACGTGACCCGTTTATTGGGAAATGCAGTGTCTCACTCAATTGGATCAAAGTGGCATTTTTTCCTGTTTTATGACCAAGTGCACTGCATGTGTGTGAATTAATGTTTTCACTTTCTCTTTTTCGTGGTCTTCATCTGTCCTGCCATCTTCTTTTGTTTTGTTCTTCCCTTCCATCACCACATGGTGGCGCCCTGTCCATTTTATTTTTTTCAATCTTATTTTTCTTGCTCCTCCATCTTTCTTTTCTTTTTGCTGTCATTTTGTTTTTCTGTCTCTCAGTGTGGTGTACCAGGATGGGTTTTATGGAGCTACAGAACTGTATGTAAGTATGACACTTCCTGTGTCTTGGTTTCACTTCCTCTCTCTTTCCTTCTCTCTTTCCGAGTGCTTGAAAACTGTAGCCACGCAGAGCCGTTTCATTCTGAAGAAGACATGCTTTAAAATCACTGCGCAGACACGAATCCTGTTCATTATGTTTGTGTGATGCAATAGAATCGGACGAATCACTTGATTTGTTTCTCATCAACAGATTCGGACGGCTCTGTGTGCGCGAGTGTGTGTGTGTGTGTGTGTGTGTCCAGGTTGACGATAGCTCTTTCTGTTTTCTCTGTAGAATAGTGTTTCAGGACACTCTGGTTAGTAGCAGAATGCCTCAGGTAGGCTCACAGACGGATAGTGTGCATCTCTCCTTCTGATTAATACATGTGTTTGATATTGATCGTGTGAGATTGCTGTCTCTGTTTCCCTACTAACTCACAGTAATCTGACAGGAGTGAGGGCTGGAAGGGGGAGAAAGAAAGAAATTCTGCTTGAACTCTGCACATTTCCTTTCTAAACGATTCGGAGGGCATGATAGATTCGGCAGCGGCATCAAACGTCCCAGCAGCGACTCGTACTCGGGAAAATACCCAAAAACAGCGTTAGCAGGGCTGGGCCGTACGACCACAAACCGCTCATTTTAGCTGTATATCGTGATTTAGTTCTGTTTTTCTTCAAGGGAATTCAATATAAAAGGGTTTATATGATCACGTGGCAGATGCCTCGGATATTTTGATTGGATGAGCCACAGACGAAAACACATCCATTGAATCATATGAATGTTGATTTGCACTGACGTTAAAACATTTCCAAGTGAGTTTTTCCTTGTCTCGTTTGTTTTTGCATTACTCCAGATGTATAGCATTAAAAAAAAAAGACAGCTCAATCTCGAGCGCCGCACCGCGCCGCCCAGCCCTCAGCGGTAGATTATTTACACTTCTGAGACTGTAAATAATTGTCTGGCGCTGTTTTCAAGCGAATGACTTCCTGCAGGTCTTTTGTTGTGCATCGCTGATATTCGAGACCATAGTTTTAAGGACTCTGGATGTTTTGGGTTTGTCAGACTGGATCTGATTCTGTCCCCTTCCCAGAGTCCCTGTCTCTCTCTCTGCAGCATGTTAACTCGATCTGTGTTGGCATGCAATCACACTTAATTCGCTAGTAGATCTCTCTCTCTCTTTCTCTCCTCTACTTCCTTGACTTTTCATCAGTGATTCACTCTACTCTGTTTACCTTCAAGTCACCTGCTACTGTTCTGTCACCTCAGCCCATGTCTCTCTCTCGCTCTCTCTCTCTCTCTCTCGCTCTCTCACACGCGCTCTCTCTCTCTCTCTCTCTCTCTCTCTCTCTCTCTCGCACTCTCCCTCTATCGCTACACCCAGCCGACGGCGGTAGCGAGTCCCACAGCAGCGGCGGCAGCGGCATACAGCGACAGGTGAGCGAGAAACGGTCAATGCATGCTCAGCGCAGCGTCTGTTTGCAGCCCTGCTCAACCTCTTTCACGCATGGATGAGTATTTTCAGTCATAACCACATCTTGAACACGGGGGCAGTCAAAATTGCTTGAAAACTAGATTTGAATTTTGCACTTAAATATTATCAATATTCTAATTATATTCAAATTTAAAATGCATAATTTCAGTTAGGGGTGAAAAAAAGCTTTTGGCTTCTCTCCTGAGACCACAAGAGGGCGCATCGAGCAAAATATTACTAATGCACAATTATTCAAAGCAAAATAACACGAGTATCAGTGAAAAAAAAGTGCATCATGTATAAAATAATGTTTATAAACCAACTGAAGAGTTCAGATGCAAAAGCCTCTAAGTGAGCATTTTTATCAGGCTCTTATGTGTAGGTTCTGTCATTTCACTTTATGGTCAATGTACTTTTCTATGCAATTAAAGTGAAATAACTGAACATAAATATAGGAGTCTGATAAAATTGCTCACCGTTGAAGAAAATTTCAGATGGCACTTAGAGGCTTTTGCATCTGAACTCTTCTATTATAATTAAGTTGCTTAAACAACTATTAACAAAACCGCATTTTGTATGCATAGTTTAATACAAAGGGCCAATAGTCAATCAAACGGAGTACTTTTTTCATTTAAAAACATGAGATGCAGTGGGATGGGGGGGGAAACCCCACCTGTTTTTTGTGTTTTGTTTGTTATGTTTGATGTTTTTTTATAAGTTGAAATTACATTAATTTTACATGGCTTTCTCTCTTGTGCGAGACGCGAGTGCAGCGATGATAGATGTCCCTCTAGAAAATGTGATAAATATGTGTTCTGTGTGAACGGCTTGGTTTCAGTTTTGACGCAAACAAGATCTTCTCTGCATTGATGCTCTCTTTTTAAAAATACAAACCCGATTCCAAAAAAGTTGGGACACTGTACAAAAAGTAAAAAAGGAATGGAATAATTTACAAATCTCATAAACTTATATTTTATTCACAATAGAATATAGATAACATATCAAATGTTGAAAGTGAGACATTTTGAAATGTCATGCCAAATATTGGCTCATTTTGGATTTCATGAGAGCTACACATTCCAAAAAAGTTGGGACAGGTAGCAATAAGAGGCCGGAAAAGTTAAATGTACATATAAGGAACAGCTGGAGGACCAATTTGCAACTTATTAGGTCATCCGTCCCCAGACGTTTGCAGACTGTTATGAAAAAGAAGAGGGGATGCCACACAGTGCTAAACATGGCCTTGTCCCAACTTTTTTGAGATGTGTTGATGCCATAAAATTTAAAATCAACTTCTTTTTCCCTTAAAATGATACATTTTCTCAGTTTAAACATTTGATATGTCATCTATGTTGTATTCTGAATAAAATATTGAAATTTGAAACTTCCACATCATTACATTCAGTTTTTATTCACAATTTGTACAGTGTCCCAACTTTTTTGGAATCGGGTTTGTAGTTATTTACATTTTAATTAGTGCTGTCAAATGATTAATCGTGATTTTTTTTACAAACAAATATAAATGAACATGTATATATATATAAAATATATTTTTTGCAGAGAGTTGATGCAGTGACACATTTTTGCGTTGTGATTACGTAATGATGTCATCGCGCTGTGACGTCACAACGTCATTTAGCAACAAATCAGCCTTCCTTTAGCAACTTTCTCTGAAAATGAGTTGGGACAGATGGGCATTTCTGCTTCTCTCTGCTGCTAGCGGCCCTGATTCTGAGTTGTAGTCGTTGTTTTCTCCGTGTTTTGCAGCTACGGTCGCATGTACACGGCAGATCCGTATGCGGCTGCGCTAGCGGCTTCTCCAGCGGCAGCGGCGGCGGCAGCAGCGTATGGAGTCGGCGCGATGGTAAGCTTCGCCTCCGTCTCTCCGTCACGCTCTCAGATCCTCAAACGCTTTCTAACCAAACCTCTCTCTCGCAGGCCACTCTCTACAGAGGAGGATACAACCGGTTCTCACCATATTAATACACTTCCAGATTCGCTGTCTCTCTGAAACTTCACCAACGGCTGCTGACCTCGGAGGGAAAAATCCAATCACACTCTTGGACAAAAACAAAAAAAACAAAAAAAGAAGCGAAGCACGTCTGTTACGAACGAACTTTGAATAAGGAATGCAACTATAAATCAATACATCGAAGAAGATGGATTTTTTCGTTGTTGTTTTTTTTTTTAAAGGAAAATATCAACTTTCAGCCCAAAATCTCAAAAAGGGGAATTAAAAAAAGTTTGTGGGTTTTTAAATGAGAAACGCATAGTATTGTTTGTCTTTCTTGCAGAGCGTGTCCTCTTTCCCTTCAGTATAATTGCTATTTTGCTTTTTTTGAATTTTGGTTCCAAAGAAAAGTCAAGCACATTCTTGGTTTGTGTGTAAACGTATTTGTAATTCTATTATTTGGTTTATTTTGTTTTGTATGAATAGGTTTTTGATATTGTTTGAAGTGGCTCGTTAATTATTTCAAGATAGCTGGACGTGGAACTGCAGCCTGGTCACGTGAGCGGTTTCCTTATCTGTGAAAACACACCTGCATTTCATCATTTGTTTGGTTTTGTTTCTGCAGGACATCACGCGTTTCAGTAGATTCTAGGTGTAACTGTATCCTGGTCCAGGACTGAAAACATTTAGCCATTTTAGAGTTTGGGAAGTAATTCCGCCTCCGCTTGTTTGAGAGGATGAGGGCCGTGTTTCATTGACACTAAGATACTGGCCTAAAGAAAAACTGACCACAGTCTGAACACTAACCCAGACAGCTTTATTTTATTAGTTTTTTTTGTTTAAATGGTACTTGCAGTCTATGCATACACGTTCCACAGTATTATAAGAGATTAAAATGATCTCGGCTCCTAAATTCTGAACTTCTGGCTTTTAAAGATGCGGCAGATCTGCTGGTTTCTCTCCTTCTGTCCTTCGCTGGTTTCTCCCGCAGAGTTCTTTGCTCTGAGACGGGTTTCTCGCATGATGCTCGTCTTCTGATGATGGAGTGAGAAGGCTGAAATCCCTCCATTCGTGCAGTAAAGGATTAAAGATGGCGTCTCTTTTATTCTCCATTCTCGCACCTTATGAATATGATACCTGTTCCACATACTCTCCTTTGGTTTACAGTGTAACCGTGTTTTTGAGTTGAACTCTTTCTCTCTCTACATATTCTGATTCCATTTGTGATGTAATTTGTATCTGAATGTCCATATAAACAGTTTTTTAAAAACACTCACTCGAAGGGTCTTTGATTTCAGTCGATTGTGCATTAATAGATGGACGTAAGGAGAAGTTATCAAATAATTTTAGGTGAATATTGTGAAAGATTTCTTCTACCTTATTTGTGGTCTTTCTGAGATGCTCATCTCGAGGTAAAGGGATGTTATATGAATGTAAGTGACCGCAGTAAGATCTTTAATGTGAAATTGTAAATAATCGCATAATGCTCATGGTTAAATCTTAATGTTTCTACATTTATGCAAACTAAGCTAATGGTTTATTACCTTCGGTATCTTATTTAACATCCTAATTCCCACATCATTACGCTCGTATTGTTTTATTGAATTTTCATTTAAAATAAATGTGAAGTAAAAGTTTCTACAATAAAACCATAGTTAATGTTCTGGTAACGTAGTAGTTAAACCATTTAAAAATGTTCTTATTTTAATTTTTACCTTGATGTTCCTAGACTGTATTTTCGAATTAGTGGATATTTATGAAAACACTTTTCATAGTTGGAGATAGTATTTACGGATGTTCCTGAGTGTATGAAGTGAAAACTTTGGATGAAGTCATGTTAAAATGGACTCAATTTAAACGTTTTAAAAGAGAAAATCCTCATCACACAGATTCATGGGAAAGTGGTTTTTAATCAACCGTGATGAAAGGATTCAGACACAAACAGTCATATTTACAGTTCAAAAAAATAAAGTTGATTTGTACGCAGTTCTGTATTTCGTTACGACATTAGAGAGTGAGTGATGTTGTGGCTCTGAGGTCGATTCCTTCAGGTCTGCGGCTGAGAGAGTCCTTATTCCCTCATTTATTAATTAATCACGTCCCATCTTCTGTGTGTGTTGGGCTGAGAGCATCTGCTGCTGGTTCAGTCTGGTGTGAACGGACGAGTCTAGAAACTATGATCTCAGGAGGATGCATGAGGTGCTACACAATCCCATATTTGGCCAGATCGCTAAGCTCCATGTCGCCGAACGCTTCCCAGGGGCAGATCACAGTGATGTCTGTTAGAAACCAGAGAAAGAAACTTGTCAGGTTCATTAAATAAATACACTGAACTGACCAGAAACTCTGGTGGCCTGTCATGTACCTGTGCCAAGACCCTCCATTCCAGGGATGTCGTCTCCGAAGCCTTTCTGTCCGGGTTTGGGAGCCTTGCTCTTGAAAGTGCGAGCGGTCCTCTGCTTGAACCTTGGGGGTCCTCTCTTCTCAACAGGTGCTGGGGCGTCCATTCCTGCCACTTACTAAAACATAAACACAAAGTTTTTTTTCTTTCGTGTTGAATCTGTGTTAGAGATCTTTAATCGTTCCCTCATCTGATCTCGCTCATGTCCTCAAACTGTTAAACTTCTCATTTTGGGATTTTGTTAATCCTAATCTGCTGGTTGCACAATGAGTGTTTATTTACCAACATATATTTGCCTCGTGATATATATACAGACAGTGTGAATAATAAGCTCTTTACATAATCTCATCGAGGAGATGCCCAGCGCTCACATTACGCATTCTGCAATCTGGCAGAAAGATGTCAGAGCTGCTGTTTTTAGTCTGTTTTTGCCTAAATGTGAAGAACATCTACTGTCCAGTTCAGCTTCGTCTGAAGAAATGCCAGTTAGTCCGTCTGATTCTCGGTTTGAGGCTCTAATTGTAGTGTGTTTATTTCATGTTTAAATGCATGTGATTTTGATCTGCATCACTAGATCTGTCTGCTCTTTATCAGTCCTCTGAACGTCTGTCTGTCTGTCTTGTGTTTTTCTCCTCTTCTCTCTGCTCAGAGTTTCCTTCTCTCAGTAGATCGTGTGTTGTGTAGTAACTAATGAGAATACTGTATAGGCCTGCGTTACCTGACTGTGTTTTGTGCAGGTGTGCCTCCGGTGCGGTGAATCTCTTACCGTGTGCTGGAGTTTCTGGTTCTTCTTCTGTGTCTCGGGTCAGCTCGTGTCCAGTGGGTCTGCTGGACGCTTTTATAGCGCTCCTCTAATCTCCCACAGAAACAGATCCAGGGATCTGGAGACTGACACCTGGAGTATTTTAAGCTCTTCAGGCTTTGTGTGTCGGTGAGGACACGCGTGTGGAAACGGTCATAGTTTATGAACACGTCTACGTTTATGTCAGTACGATGTGTTACACATGAAATATGATGGATGTGTGTTCAAATACCACGTACAGGCTGTATTATCATTTAAGTTAATATGTACTTTCATATTCTCAGCGTGATCTTTTTATTTTTGATATTAAATGCTGGTAACACTATTATATGGTGTCCTCGTTACACATGTTACATAAACTTACTCTTGTAATAAACAATAACTAACAATAACAATAAATTATGCATGCAATTAACCCTAAACCAAACCCTAATCCTAACCATATAGTTAGTGCATGTAGTTCATTAATATTACTCAGTACTTAAATGTATAATTACACTGTAACATGGACACCTTAAAATAAAGTCTAACCTAAATTCTTTACCAAATAACTGTAAATGAATTTATTCTAAATCTAAAAATAAATCCAACTATATATTTATATGATAACCATTCATTGCTTAACAAATGTGACCCTCTCTGTGGAAAACAGGCTAAAGTCTCAAAATCTTGTTATGAGATAACTCAGTGAAGATAATTCACTGTTCACATCTGTTTTTAGATTTGAGCACCTTAAAAAAACCCGCAGCTGATATTCTGAGAAACACACACCTGATCCCACACATATGGTTATAGCTGAACCTGACTAATTAAAGAGTAATCAGTTCTAATCCACAATCCTGATTGGCTGTCCTGATGGTCATTTAGGGGATTGTATAGCCTAATTAGCAGTTTGCTCATTAACATACCCTGGAATGTTCTAGAGTGTGTGTGTGTGAGTGAGTGAGAGTGTGTGTGAGTGTGTGTGTGTGTGTTGTGAGTATGTGTGTGTGTGTTGTGAGTGTGTGTGTGTGTGTGTGAGTGTGTGTGTGTGTGTGTGAGTGTTGTGAGTGTGTGTGAGTGTGAGTGTTGTTAGTGTGTGTGTGTGGGTGTGAGTGTTGTTAGTGTGTGAGTGTTGTTGGTGTG